TTGCCCTCAACCATCACCATCCAACCCCTCCAATTCCCAAACGTCAAACAAAGAATCTCAGAGGATTGAATTTGACATTTCAATCAACAGCCAATCCTCTCCAACAGATGACAACACAAAATCCCCTCAACCAGAAGTTCACCACAACCAAGGTAAATAGAAATACAAATGTTACTGTTCGTTTGGGAAAAAAAAACTTCTCTTTAAGTAACTGGTATTGTTCTCCAATTTACAGGGATGGACATAATACAGGACTCATCTCCACGACCAATGGGCGAGACAGAACTTGAAGGTCCTCATGACTTTCCCCTGCTAGCAGAACCAGAGAAACACCCTCAAGGCGCTGATGCTGCCATTTCATCAGTACCAGAAACAACTCGTCCTCATGCGACAACCACAGCTGAACAAGGCCAACCGTCTGCGTGCACGTTATCAGGACAGGTACTTGATTGCTGCTGCTGCATGCTTTTGGTCGCAGTCTAGTCACTCCCTACTCCTCAATTTTGGTATGATTTCCCCTACCATCTTAGATGTAGCTCACTTGACTGGTCTGCCAATCTTGGGCAATCCAATTCATGCTCTCCTTGAGCCTCCAAAAGTGACATTTACTTTAAACACTGACATGTGCTATACAGATTTTGCCAAAAAATACCAAGGCAAGCGTGGTTCTCCTGTCGATGACAAAGAAAGAACTGCTTTTTACTTACTTTGGCTTTGTGAGTTTCTTTTTTGTGTCCCTGGGTACAAGATCACGAAAGAATACCTCCCCCTTGCCTTGTGTATGCAAGATGGCCAACTTATGGCTTTAGCCCCTTATCTTTTTGCCACCCTTTACAAGGCCCTATTTTCCTTTGTCGACAAGAAGATTTCTAGCAACTGTGGTGGCCCCTTCTGGCTCTTCCAGGCTTGGTTGTATGCCTATTTCCCTGCACGACCCCCACCAACTAACACCTTGAAACCAGTTTTCCACTCATATGCTGAGCAATTGCTCACTTAACAGCCAACCCATCCTCACTTTCAGAAATCATCTTACCATGTTTTACAACCTTCCTTCGAAGAGAACTTCCAACTTGTACATGCCATTTCAGAACTTTCAATTCTCCTCTAGTAGACTTCGTTTCCTCTTCATAGACCCTTGTGATTTACACAATGAGCAAGTCCAAGAACAAAATGAGACTTGGAGACACATTCTCACCTCTAGACATGTCTTGGTTGGCTGTTCTATATCCTCCACCAAGATGTCCAACGGCAGTTTTGAGACATATTGTCCCAATCAATGGTCCAGGCAATTAGGTCTTTCCCAGGGTATCCCTTATCCTTATTTCCACCCAATCATCCATGAGGAGATTGGGTCCAGAATCTATTTCAAAGATCCTAGGCAAGCTGAATCCATTCTGACAGAGAACACCAAACTTTTCCAAGATTTTGGCCCCTTCTTCTTCAAACCTGCTTCGGACTGCTCGGCTGCTTTTGACCATTGGTGGGGACTTATGACTGCCATTATTTTCTGCAAGCCACTTGAAAGCTGCCTTAACGATACTTGTATTCATATTCAGGGCCGCATATCCTCGCCTTCCAAGCTTAAGGCTACAGGTATCCTTCCTTCATATACTTCATATCCCTGACTATCTCATGCCTTTTTCTTTTTTTTTTTTTTTCCCTCTACAACATTAACTTGTTTGACCTTAGACAACCAAAATTAGGCCTGCTGTTGAACCATTGGTTAGGGACCAACATAAAGGCAAGGCTCTAATGGATCCAACTACTCAGACAAACACCCCTTCAGTTTCGAAATTAATGGTAGACTCTTTGGCAGCCTTGCAGACACAAGCACAGAGAGGAACTACCACTCGTACCCCTATCAAGACAGAGGTCACGGCAAAGAAAAGAGAAGAGTCTTCCACTGCTCCTGCTCTAAGTACAGACCTAAGTGATTGGGATATCCCTCTCAGCCAAATGGTTGGCCAAATAACATCAAATCCTTCAAGGCAGCTCTACCAAGTATGCCTTCACTTTACATATTTACATCATCTCAATTTCCATTCATGCCTGACTGATCACTTACTTTTGTGTAAAGAAAAAGAAGGAGATTACTCTTACTGCTGCTGATGATGAGGATCCTTCCACTTCTCCTCAACACATTCATCAAATTCCCAGTCCAATCAGCAATGTACCCACAGAACCCACTGTACAACCAACTCCACCACCACCTGAAGCATCGCAACAAACTCCCTTACAACCTGCTTCACAGTCTTTGCCACAGCAATCCACACAGTCTGCATCACAACATCCTTCCACTTCTCCTCAACACATTGTCCCTTCTGTCTCTAGCCCTCAACCATCACCATCCAACCCCTCCAATTCCCAAACGTCAAACAAAGAATCACAGAGGATTGAATTTGACATTTCAATCAACAGCCAATCCTCTCCAACAGATGACAACACAAAATCCCCTCAACCAGAAGTTCACCACAACCAAGGTAAATAGAAATACAAATGTTACTATTCGTTTGGGAAAAAAAAACTTCTCTTTAAGTAACTGGTATTGTTCTCCAATTTACAGGGATGGACATAATACAGGACTCATCTCCACGACCAATGGGCGAGACAGAACTTGAAGGTCCTCATGACTTTCCCCTGCTAGCAGAACCAGAGAAACACCCTCAAGGCGCTGATGCTGCCATCTCATCAGTACCAGAAACAACTCGTCCTCATGCGACAACCACAGCTGAACAAGGCCAACCGTCTGCGTGCACGTTATCAGGACAGGTACTACCATTCCTCATGACTTTCCCCTTTTACCAGAACCAAAAAAAGAGCCTGAAGGCGCTGATGCTGCCATTTATCAGTACTTGAAACAACTCCTCCTGCTATCATAGCCACAGCCAAACAAGGCCAACCGTTTGTGCCCGCTTTATCAGGACAGGTACTACCATTTCCAACCTCATCCTATTTACTCTTTATTACTTGCAAGCATATATTCTCACCAAACTATTAATGTTCACAGGCCAGCATTCCATGTTAGGATATTTGGGCCGAACTTTCTATTCTTCAACAACATCCAGACGAAATATCCCCATTACCTCAAAGGCTACATCTCTTTCATGCTAAAACTCAACAAACCTCAACCACTTTCATCAACCTCATCAACACCCCAGCTGTAGAAAATCATTCTCCACAAACCTAATGAAACCTTGGCCTGTCTTTCTGTTGTTCTAAACCTGTCCCCTAATCCTTTCAACCCCATTCAACTAAGGCAATTGGCCAAGATCATCACGGAATGACCAACCCTTTTAGAGATGGTTTAGACTTGTGCCAAGGATATTCAAACCAAAAAGATTTCTTAAACGAAGCCCACACCATATCTACTTCACTCAAACTCAGCCAGCAAACCTCTGCAGCCATTCTTGAGCAACACTCAGCACTTGAACTTGAGGAAACCAAACTCATGGCAGAACTTGCCTCTGTCCGGCAAAGAAAGGCTCATCTATAGCAGCAACATGACCAGCTTAATCAAGAAGCAAGGATGATGCTCTCCCAAATTAGACGTCGTCCTGCATCAATTCAGACAACTAAAGTTGAGTTGGACCAAGCCCAAGCCATGCTGGCAGATGCTTAATCAGAATGGGGTGTTTTAGCCATTCTCTTCCCCAAATCCTAGACTAGTTTATATATGTATTCTTTTGTATTGCACAGAATGCGTGCCATCTTTTACACCATTGTGCAGACTTGTTCATTAATGAATATCAATACTCTGTTTTTGAATGGTCTGTTGTATGATTTTTTTTTTGTTGTGCAATTTTTCTTCGTTTGTGCATTGTTATGAAGTAATCAACTCCCCTTCAAAGTTTCTCACATGGTTGGATAATACTTCTTCACATATCTTTCGTTTATATATCTTCTATGAGGTTGCCCTTCTAAGGATTCGTTTATATAAAGGATGTCATACTGCTTCACACCAGTATATCTGTCATGTACAGATGTTTAGTATTTTTGTTTAGTATCAAAGTCTACATGTTTAGTGTGTAAAGTCAGTTAGCCAAATATTTCTGAAAATATGTCATCTACAATACATAATTGCCGTAAAACACTTACTTACACACCAATATACTGGAAACAACCAGGCAACATGCAATATGACATTGTTTGTAGTTTAAAATTTGTACTTGTCTGTGCCTGTTCACACGTGGATCAACCACAACATGACATGTGCGAAAGTCAGCGTCAGAGTCCATTAGTTACACATATGAAAGGGGTTTAGTTTAACTACACGTGAGGGCCCACATGGTGCAGCAGTTACGAGGATATTGCATGGACTAACTGAGTGGATTGCAAAAACAGTCATTGGCAGAATACAGAGCTTAACCTGACGATGTGAAGTCCACAATGTGCAGGGATAGTTAGAAACATAATAGTAAGGTGGTTCGACAGGAGAATTACAACAGTTTGTTTACCACATGAATTCCTGTGGACAGGTGGACCCCTGTTGGTGCATTATAGTCACTGCTATTTGTTTGTTCTGTGAGATTTTTTTTGCTTTGTTTAGGACAAAATTATGGCATTCAAAAAAAGCGAACAAACATAATTCATGTGGTAAAAGCGAACAAACATTACTACTTTCAACTTGCATTGTTTGTTAGACAAATATCACATTGCATTGGACAAACATTACTATATTCATTTGGGCAAATATCACATTGCATTGTTTGTTCTGTACCCATAACATTGGAATTATGTGTATCACATTACGTACATGCCACGATAAAAGCAAACAAACATTACTACTTTCTGTCGTTTGTTCCAGTCCCAAACATTGGAATTTTGTGTACAACCAATACGCGTGGGAAATTAGTATTATCATAGCTGTGACCTAAAAAGTTGTCACAACAAGCTGATGCAGTAATCCAGCTGTGGTTGGGCATCGAAATTACTCTCGTACTAGCAGGCCATGATAAAATCACTGCCCTATTTGTTGTAATTGCAATCAATCACATGCACGAAGGATACTCACTGATCTTTGAATTATTCACATCCATAACGAAGTCAAGCACCAACTTTTGACGCACAGAAGGATGAAACTATGTAGAGAAAGCGAATAACACAAATCAAGCACAGTTACAGGGGTAGGAAATAAATGTATTTATTTCGCAATTGGAAATGAAGCGGTAGAATGTACCTTGTGTGGACCGCTGGGTATATTAGGCCGCTGCATGTACTTGATCACAAACATCCCACAGTCGAAAGTGCTACAAATGAAATGTAACATTCAATTTCTCGTAAATATAAGCAGGTTCGTTAAATAAGTCATTCAGGCGTCAAGTCAATGTGACGTAGGGTTTGTGGATTACTCGTCCAGCTGTTGTAATGGCCTTTTTTCTAACATGTGGACATCAAAGGTACGCACGTCTACAGCATATTCATTTCCAAATTGTAGTTGCAGTAAGGCATGCATTGTTTGAACCTGTCGCAGAATGAGATGGGTAGTTTATGTGAAGGATGTGACAGTGTGGAAGTAGATTTGTGAAATTTAGCACGACATACCAACATTTTTGCCGCGTTCAGCTTGTTGGTGTCCAGTGTGGCGGATGCTAATGAGTCAAATAGGTACGCCACACGGTCTACCATATCTATTTTTAGGCACAACCAATGTACTCCTCTATAATTGAAAGACATGTAAATCTACACATAAACACAAGTGAAGACATTGTTTAGAGGGCATGCGAACATGTACGCACTTTCATATTTACATTGACAATCATGTAAATGGGATCGACATTCATATTACCAATGTTCATATTAAATCTACTCGTTGAGAATAAAGGAAGTATGCCAAAAATCAGAACAAACGGAGATGGTTAGGCGGTCCCGAACCACCATATTTTCATGGTTCAGAGGTTGAGTTTTTTGATTTAGTATCAAAGTCTGCATGTTTAGTGTGTAAAGTTCAGTCAGCCAAAGTTTTCTGAAAATATGTCTTCTGCAATACACAACCGACCTAAAACACTTACTTACCGACAAATATACTGGAAAGAACCACGCAGTATGCCTCCCGTCTTTGTGTACTTGCCGCTGTCCGTTAGTCAATTGAACCGCGACCAAGTTGATTGGCTGGAACATTGTAACAGACCAGGCAACTTGCGAAATAAGGTTTGCCATTTGTTTAAATGTAATACGAAATAACAATGTCCCTACATGGATATGTCCATCATGCAAATATAGTGGAAATAACATTGTCAGATGCCACGACTTATAGTGTCGGATAGCCATGCCCCTGGTTTCAGCGTGCGCATGTCACGTCGCGTAGCACATTCGCAAGGCATTTCATGCAGATTCATAGACACGACAATGTCCCTACATAAAACGTATACATCAATCAGTAAGAAGCAACCTACAGCCTAGTAAAACTTAAACGTATCTGGCTTAACTCTACAACATAAGATTAGTTTTTTCTGTTGTACAACTATGGCAGATATTCCTGATTCTACTACTCATCAATCCAATTAAGATTAGTTTTAAGTTTTTAAAAAACAAAATGAAAAGACAAAGTTTTAGATATTACAACTCATGACATGTCCAATAGTATTTGCTAAAATAATATGTGAAAATTTAAATGCTCATTTACAGGTGAGCAAGTTAAAAAAAAAAACCACATGTATTTTACAAACTGGAACCAACAATATCCCAAAATGATCAAAATGGCAAATGTAAGCAGACTAGAAGAAAATAACTAGGGAAAATTGCACTTCAGTATAAGTTTTCAAAAAAATTTGCAAATCATTGATAAACTTTATTAAGTTTCATAATTAAAATTATAAAGTTTTCCATGAATTTGTAAATATTTTGTGAAAATATCAGTGATTTGTAATTTTCCCAATAGCTACATGTTTGCAGGATAAGACCAAGAGAAGAAAACTTCAGACATGAAATTTAGCCAGTGATCTTTCCTTAGGCCACTACATTAAATTCAAAGAAAATTCTACATACAACATGGATAAACCCATCATAAGCCCATCCTAATCATACAGAACGAAAAATTAAAGAACTGATAGCTACAAAAATCAAATAAACATAGCACGACAAACGAAAATTGTGGAATTCAAACTTATTTCACAAATACTACGGAACAGGTTAATTGCGAGTACTAAACTCATCCGTACCTTTCATTTTTTCTGTCGTCAAGTACAGAGTCAACAACTTTGTGTTCGGTCGCTGATAAAACCTCTTTGCTTTCCAGTGTCATCAAGTCCTTCTATCAATATAAACAATCAAGTAACATCAACTCCTCCTATTAATATAAACAATTAACTAACTGAACACCGTTCAGAAAATAAATTTACAAAATACATAACACATCTTTATGCATCTAAAATTGGTGAAGCGATGTCTAACTTCTGAACGGAACCGCTTCTCCAACCTGTGCAGTTTGGACAATACTGTGCTGAAATCTGTAAAACAATTGTACAACATTTGTTAGTGCAAACTTGCACTAGAATGACAACTATTAAAATATAACACAAATAATGGTTCAATTATGATAAGTAATGCTGTCGGCATCAATTGGTAATGAAACATACGAAAGGTGAAGTGATATGGCGAATTGAGAATTTTTCTGCAGTAAGTCGAGTACTTATTTTGCTATCATTGCACGAATGCATATCCCCTACGTCTGTGGCTTCAACATCTCTTCCTCTTCCTTTTCCCTTTCGTCTGCCTGTTACAATTTGTCCCGCTCCCAATGTTTGGGCAAGCTTACCAGCAGAAGGATGCACATTGTCTGCTTTTCCTCGTATTGGAGGCAAGGTTTGCAAATCATCAAAGGAAGATAAACTCTCTTTTGCAACGTTCTTGATGGCCAGAAACTGAATTGAAAGAGATTTGCTTTCTTTGCTTGCGTATGTTTCCTCCAAGGCAAAGCCACGGTTGTTGTGCGTGTCCCCAACTTCTTGGATGGTACGCAACTATCCAATGTGCATATCAATTATCTCATTGGACAACATT